TAGTTTTCTGATCTGGGTAAATTTATGTACCAAACACAAATTTAGTCTTACAAAGCTCAGCATTTGGGTATTTAGTGAGTGGGAGCATTGAAGATTTACCACATGAGAAACAACATGCATTGTGGGTTAATTTCTGACAATGCCGAGACACTGTTGAAGACGTTTTTTGATTTGGAATCAACTGGTATTAGAGGTGATCCCAATTCGTACGATGAAGATAAAGCATTAGAGATATTCAATAGAACTGTTAGTTTCAAAGATGGTCGTTATATTGTTAGCCTATCCTGGAAGAAACGTTGGGAACATTTATGCGACAATTTTGGTATCGCAGAAAAAAGAATAAAGATCCTGCTGAAAAAAATGCAGCATGATAATGCATTATACTTAAAATGCAGAGAAACTTTAGCAGAGTACATAAATCGAGGGATAATAGAAAGATTATGTGATTCTAGAAACCAGTAAACAAGTCAGTTTTTTATATGCCGCATTAGACATATAGAAAAGAAAGCATTACGACGAAAATGCAGATTGTATTTGATACGAGCTCACATGATCACATGAAATAGGTAGTCTGTCCCTGAATGATTGTATGTGGCCTGGTATTAATTTGAATCAAAATATATTTCACTTGCTGATATATTTTAGACATAATATAGTTGCTATCTTAGGTGATATCGAAAAGGCATTTTCACAGATCGTGTTAGCTGAGAAAGATTGAGATGCAGTTATAATGCATCATCTATTAATACAATTATAAAAATTTAATTAAAAAATAATAAATGCTTCATTGTATACATTTAAAAAATTAGGAGCACGAGAAAACTGTAAATATAGCAGAAATTTCCGCCCAAGTTAAAACTAATATGTAACACTGTTTCAAGAATATTTGCAATTAAGCTATAAGTGAGCTAAGTATGTTTTGAGAATATATTTTTGTAGCAAGAGGCCTATGTTTATAATAATCCCTTAGAGAAAGACTTACCCATTAGAAAAAGGCATGAAACTCTCTAAATATCTTTCATATTTATCAAATAAAACTTCCATTTGTATACCATTTTATATTCAGCAAATGGAAAACTGCTGTTAAGAATTTTTAACATTAAAATTACAATACAATATTGTCACATAATAAATTACTTTTAAAATTATGTTATACATCAACACTGAACAACATTAAAATGACCTAGGGATTTTACTGATTTAAAAGCAAATCTCTTAGCTTAGTTTCCAAATTTTCCCCCTTTTAAATATGCAGAGAAACATAATAAAATACCATATTGTCTCAAAACATAATGATGTCAATATAAAAAAGTTTTGTCTTTTAAAAATGTTTCAGGGAGACAAAAGAGGCTTGCATATAAGATATGCCCACGTATCTAAGTTTATATCAAAGTAAGTGACATGAGAAGGCGTTAAAAGTCTAATCTTATTAAGATAAGTAAACACATCTCCTCTACGAGTTAAGAAATAGTCTTAAATTATCTTAACGTAGTATATTATAAAACTGATTTAAAATAGATTCTGAAGATATTTTTTCATCCCCTCTGTGGGTATATATGTATCTCGCATAACTCAAAAAGGAGTAGCCTCAGAACATTACATTTTGTATATAGGACTGCTATAACGTGTAGATGGGCGCCTCCTATTTTGGTTGCAATCGCATCAAAAGTATATAAATATATGTATATATATATATATTCACTCTGTTACTCGGCTCAGTAAGCTCGGATTCTTTACTCTTACATGTTTGTAAATTGTGCATTTTTTGCTTTAAAAATGATTGAGTTGTGTTGTTCTGGTTATGATGTTTACATCTTTAATTAACCTTCATGCAATAATTGTGGAAATATCAATAATTTAAAAGTTGTTTAAGGGCGGCTAAGCCGAATTTTTTTTTGGAAGAGCAGCCATATTTGTTTAGATTTGAAACCTAGCAAAATAGTGGACTTGTTGCCAATATAGAAAACTAAGCTTTGCAAAAACAAAATAATGTCTTATTGCAAATTAAATTACGTTATTTTGATTAATGCAAAATAAATTATGTTATTTAACCGCTAGTTGACGGTGTTTTCCTAATGCACGATGATCATGCATTTCCGTTCTCATTTTGGATTAATTTAAAGGGTTATTTTTACCCTTCTTCTGTGCTGGCAAATCATTTACGCCTGTTCGAGAATTCGCCAGTTTCCTTGTAGAAACTAGTTAAGTTCATTGTAGAATCTAGTTAAGTTCGTTGTAGAATGTAGTATGTGGAATAGAAGAGACAAAGCTTACAGTTGTTGTTCACATAAACTTTATTATGGCTTATTTGTGCTACAAAAAATTTAAAACAACTGTGTGGAAATAAACAGGAAATGTTGCTTCAATGTAACAAATGAATTAAAGGATCCGCTCTTTTGACGGGAAAAAAAATGTACACTTATGATTATCCTGCTTTATTAAATTTTTGAGCTAAGAAATTTACCTATAATTAGAAATGACGTAGCATGTCCGTAGCACATAAACATCATTTGTATGCATAGACTCCAACTTTCAGCAAACCTTGTCAGTAGTCAACGCGCGAACGACATTTTTACAACTTTGAAAATGTGCGCGTAGCGTATGTTGTAATTAACCATTCATTAATTTAAATTAATCATTAATGTAATCAATTTTATTACATTTAAAATCCATACATATAAAACTGAATATTAAATATACCTTGAAGATATGCACATTTAATTAGAAATTTTCTCTTAACGCTCAAGCATTCACTATATAAAGTACTTCAAATCACTACTAATCAGAAAATCAGACTATAAATCATATCTTTATTCTGGATATGATTTCTACAGGGAAATAAATTTAATAACCAAGATGATACATATAAGTATTAAACAAATACGCAAAATGAATGCGATTTATATGTAGCATGCTTAGCAAGCTTAAGTTCTGTTTTGAGAATGTTTTTTATAACACAGTTCTTCATTTGCTGCATATTATTTTTTCAATCAAACTGCTTCAAATTTTAAACCTAATTTGGTCGAATCCTCTGATTTTTTTAACAATAGAAAAAAGCCTTGCGCACGCATTTGATGAGGTATTATTAATACAGCAAGCAGTACAGAAGCAATACTTTGTATTTAACACCCATTCATATTTTTAATTTGCAATTTCTCCCCATCTACGTCAATACGCAATCTACATTTCGGTCAAATCATCTCTTGACACATGGAAAATTCAATTTACACTTGATTAAGATATTTTTCATCAATAATGGATGGAAAAATATTTATCAAGAACAGATGAAAATTAAACTTCAGTTCACAAGTTGATGTCAGCAACTTCAGCATGTTTTAGAAATGGATTACTTAGTGGAAATTTTTCTATTATATCTATGAGCATGCAGTTAAAAAAGCTCGCAGAGACTTGAAAAATGATTTCACTTCCCTTTCATTTAAACTTGGCATTTTTTAAATATATTCTTTTTTTCCGCACCAATCACTAAATTTTCATTTTCTTTACTTCTGAAATGGAATAGATGTTAGAGTAAAATTTTCACTTTCCTTAGAAATTACTGATGGTTTTATGAATCTAACAAGTTCATTAAAAGTTCAACAAGTTCTCTTCTCAATTTATGTATATGTTACGGTGAAACAACGAAATATGGAGAATATCGACTTTCACCAGTAAATGTCAACATTCACATAGTCACTTGGTGGTCGGTGACTGTAAAAGTTTTTTAATGTTTGCAATCTCTTTCTCATTCACTGTCTCACTGTTATCTGGTTTATCTCCAAAAAATTTATCACATCATCCCACTGTTCCAAATCCTTGTATATATCCAAAGAGACAACCTCTCTACTGCATATTCAAAATTTTAGAGATTTTGCTTCTGTCCCAAATTTGTGAGCACTTTGAAGCTAGCTTCTTTCGAACTTTTCTCGCAAAATCTATATCTATTCTCAACATTTCACTTCCTGCAATTCATTTTCAGTACTTTTTGCAGCTATATGCAATAGTGTCCGGAACCTCGTGTGTTTACTGGTTGTGCATTTTGATAATGATGCACACCTCTAACTTTCCAATCATATTACTAGCATTATCTGAAGAAAATGATAAGCATTTTCCATTCAAACCTTTGTTTTTAAAGTTTCATTTATACAAGTAAAAATACCTTCTCCTGATTATTCGTGCATTCTAAATAGAAATCAATGAAGTAATTATCACTCCCTTTTCTTTACTGTAGTATGTTATAACCAATGGTACAGTTTGTTACATTGTTATCATTACTTCCATCATTACTTAGAGAAATGATGTCTGCACACTGATTTTATAATATCAGCAACAGTATTTTCTGCAGCGTTTTCCAATAGCACAGTTTTGGTATGACCGCAGTTAAATTTTTTGCTATGGCAGAATCCGGAAACATTGCTTTAAAGCTCTTTGGAATGATCCGAAACAGAAAGCGGTAGATTATGTTCAATTAAAAAACGAACAAAATAGCATTCGCTTTTATAGGATCTGTTCATCATCCTTTATTAAGAAATTGTTATTTCTTTAGATTTACGGTGCCAATTCTATATGCTTTGAGAAACACATGCCGTACAGTCACTTTTCCGCCTGAGCACTGAGAAGTCTTTGTTGCATACATGCAGTGTGCGTGTTCACGAAATTTCGGACGCTTTAAGGCATCGAAATTCTGAAGAATATGATCTTAAACTTCTGCTTGATAATTTTGGCTTCTTCGTTCGGGCAGCATTATGATAAAAATCTTTCACCTGATTCACAGTTCACAAGACACACGCTAAGCCTCGCCGTAACTACACAACCAGCCTAAACACGCATCACGAGGAACCTGGGAGACAGACAATTGGGTGGAACTATGATAATTCTTAACGGTTGATTTACTGATCTACATTGGCTAATTCTTCAACTAGAACGCACCAACACGTGATATATGATAACACGAGTATTCAGCCAATCATCGATGAATTAGTGGTGCCGTTTTGCGACTGGTTCTCCGCTCTTTTTCTGTAAAATCCGTAGTTTTTTCATCTTTTTCGTAGCTCGTAGTTTTTCATGAATTTCCGTAGAAACTACGGAGAATCCGTAGTAGTTGGAGTCTATGTGTATGCATATGCCAATAAACCATCTTACATATTTCCATCATTCTTTTAGTTGTAGCCGATTTATTAGTAACGGAGGTAATTCGAGTTTAATAGCATCTTTTTCTATATTTCTGATATTTTGTCTTATAGTAATATGGCACAGATTTTCTAATGTAAGACACTGCTTCGAATTATCAACAACATAACTGAATAGTGTTTTTTGTTCCTCCTTTAACATTTTGTAAGTTCCAGAAGTTTCGAAGACAGCTTCCCAATCCTGGCCCCGTAAACTAGCCCCACAAATCATAAGTACATCCACCATTCTCCGGTATCCATATCGACATGCATAGAGTAATGGAGTGAAACCTTCGCTGTCACGTTTTTCGATGTCGATATCCTTTCCCGAAATAAGAAGTTTTCGAACAAGTATTTCTTGGTTTGTCTCAATTGCAACATGCAGAGCAGTCCGACCCTTCCAATCAACAGCATTGAGGTTGCATCCGCGGTCCATCAGCAGCCTGCAGAAATCTAGAAATGCTGGATAATTTGCTGTATCATGTAATTCCATGCGAGCCCTTTTTATAGCAGCTATCAGTAACAGATGGTCAATCTGAGGAAGAAAGTGATCATTAGAATTTCATACACATTAAAGCATTTGAATAACAAGAATTAAAATTCTACCTTAAGTTGTTGATGAAAAATGAAACTACAAAAAGGAGTTACCATTTATTTCGTTTATTCCTTTCATTTCCTAATTTTTTGCGTCCAGGCAGGAAAGAGGGTTTCCTACATGGTTTAAAAATTTTCCTTAACTCTTTCACAACTAAACCACCCCACACGGTTCTACACTGAAACAACCAGAACCGCCCGTAAATGACGAGATTGTAATCTTGTTTTCTCCCCTCTTCCTAAGACATACAGTAGCATGTTCAGTTTCCCCAAATGTATTGTATCAGTTTACTACAGACAGCTTGTCCTAAGAGGTTTCTTATCTTTTGGTTGCTCCTGACATTTCGTTGTTTATTCTTTTGTGGTACAATGTGCTTTTAAGCTTTAAACAGCAATAAAAGAGCAGTTTAAAATTTTAAGGATTATATTTATTTTTATCAATCATTCCTCCTATAAAATAACGGAATAAACAAAATCTCAGTCGTGATCATAACAAAGCCAGAAAGGCTTGTTGGTCTGACCTTCCGAATAGTTTTATAAAGAACGGGATCAAACGCTAATGGAATCTTTGTTAGAAAGTACAAAGGATGTCATTCGAAATCTTCACACCTATTTCTGATTGAATGGGGAGAGGAAATTGCTGTAAAACTGGAAAAGCATTTCGGGCGGTTCGGTATTTCGAGGATACAGGTTAGCGAAGGATCTGGATTTCAAAGATTTAAACCTCAGGTTGAAGCGATTCAATAAATGAAATGCACAACGTTATCTGGAATAGTTAGGTTCAAAATCATAGAAATTTTCCAAGTTAATGATTCCATTAAATCTTATATTAATGATCAGCTCATATAATTTATCAACATTTTAAATAAATATTTCTCTGAGATGGTTTATGTTATGTCCAAAGACGTTATTCCTAACTTTACTTTGGAAACTGCATTAATTCCTTTACAAAAATTAAATCTATTATCGAACGTAATTTCAAATAATTCAGAATATTGATATGAAATACATATCTACATACAAACATTTTCAAACTACTACTAACTTACTGTTTATCTCCTGACGAACTTGGACTAATATGCATATGTAAATAATTTAGAAGACTGATTTATGTAATTAATTTTACTATTTCTACTTTCATATATGTTTTGTACTGTATTTAATCGCAATTTTAGTGAAGTATTCCTCAGAAAACTCGCAACCAATGCTAAGTCAGCTTGCAGCCCACGTGACAACTGGTCACGCCCCTTCGCCATTAGCTCCTGCCCTTCTGGTCACACTCAAACTTTTTCTCTTTTCAGCGCCCAAAGAGCAACATGATACAGCGGAACACATCAAGCAGAATGCTTGATAATCTCGGCATAAGTGTAACTTGGAACTTGCCTTATATTCGAGGTTCAGACTAGGTCCGTGAAGGTGCAGTTGCCCCTCGCTCCTTATTTTTTGACTTTGATTGATTTGCTGATTTGTTTTCTTTTTAGTCTATGTTTTATATGTTTGATCAGATAGCCTGGCTCAGTAAAAGTAGATGGCCAGTGTAATCTGATTCAAAATCCGGTTACGACCACGTGTTTCTGAGATTTCTTTTCCAATGCTTTATTTTTCTTCTTTTTCCCTTTTCTAGTAATTTCGTTCTCCTGATGAGGAGGGATCTTTAGCTGCCCTCGAAATCTATTGAGTGTTTTAATATATGTACGTTAAATACAAGGTTGTTATAGCGATTTTAATTTATCCCATTGGCATGTTTTTCTTCTATTCTAAATGTAATACTGTTACGATATGTCCATATCCCTATACACTGTATATATACGGATAATTTTGTTGCACTTTTACGTGAAATTGTTGCATTTTTATGTAGAATGTAACATGAAAAGCTTGAGACAAACGACGCTCTGTCGGAAAAACAATAATACAGGGACAAGTTTATTTAATATTTAATAAATGTCTTACTCGCTAATTTGGCGAAATATCGCCAAGCTGGCAAATCTATTGGCGACTAATTTTTGTTGCCATATTTGGCTACATTTTTGTCCTGTCCCTGTATAACTGTAATGGATATGTAATTGAATAGCTGCAATTGATTCTTATATTAGCTATAACCGTACTCAGCCCTCATATGCCTTCTAGTAATTTCAAGAAATAGAACGTACTACAGATTTTCGGAGGAAAACTAAATCAGAGAACGTCTGTTTCTCAGTTTGGATAATTGTCAGTTCAGAACAACTTCGTAATATTGAGATATCCATGACGGCTTTGCCTTTTAGCTCCGCTTTTGCATTCTGTTGTGTTTAACGTTTCTAGTAGTTTGAAGCGTAACTATTGAGAGAGCTCTGTGATACTGTGATGACCTGTACCGCTATTTTTGTGGAAAGTTTCAGATTAGAAGGATTATTTAATTATCTCAAAGCCCATGAGGGCTATCTCCCTAAAGGAAGGGATGCCTCCATGAAGGACTTCAAAGGGAAACTTGCTCGTATACACGTTACACATGGAGAAAATTACGAAAATGCCCATGCAGACAGCCCGTTCACAGGATTCGAACCCCGGACCCAACTACCAGTGTTTAGCGTCTTTACCTCTCGGGCACTGGTAGGCGGAAAGTTTCAGAACTGTAAAGTGTTTCTTTTGCTAATATATGATTTACTAAGTTATCATCCGTTCTGTGTACATTCTATCTATTACGAACCCGTACGAAAGGAACATTATGATAAAGATAAGTGTAAAGTGCTCCGTTATTAATAGAAAATTTTAAAATTCTGTATAAATTAGTTAACTATTATAGAATATCAAGAAAAATCACTCAATGTTTAAAAATTTCTCCCTTAATTTTGCATATATTTATTCCAATGAAAACGTATAAGGAATAAAAAGTTTTAAATATAAAATTTAAAAACTTACAATTCCCTAATTTAAGAATCAATTTTGAAATATATATAATACATATTTCAACAAGATGTATAAAGACATAATTATACTCATAGTAGCTACTTTTTCTGCCCTCTTTGCACTCATAATTTCATCAACATAACTAGTATTTAAAAGCTTTAGATTTAATTCTTCAAATTTTGCTTTGTATTTTCCACTAAAAATAGAAATTTGAGTAAAAAAATAGGGTTTTGCATTTATTTGAAAAATAATTTCATTAGTAAGAAAAAAATTGGCTATATTTTCTTCGATTGTCATTAAATTTATATTCAAAATAAAAATCAGGAATTATATTTTGAATATAAATTTGAAATAATCTCTAGGAAAAGACATACATAGTTAAAAAATTAATACTATGTAAAGGATGTTTGAGCACAGCGGTTACATACTTTCAGGAGGGCTAGAGTACACCTAGACGATGGAAAATCACGTAGCAATGCATGGTCGGAAACGCTTTCCTGACGTGAGTAATGACAACACAAAACACATAAAGGAAGGACACAAGCTGCGTGAGAAAAACATGCTTTGTATAGCAGAAAGAAAAAATTAAAAATAAAAACAGTCAATTATTGCTATCAGATAAAGTGTTCGAAATTACGAACCCAAACTGTGATGCATGCCTCGTACCTGCAGTGCATGGAGGATCTGACGTTCTGGAAAATGCTGGACTTCTCCAGTAGCTGCCACGATGCGTGGAACACACTCTTCAGCACTGCTAACAGGGTTTTCTAACAACAACCTCCATAGTAGTTACTGCAAATGAGGTTTCACGAACTTCTCGGCCACTGCACCGTACTAGACCTGTCGATGCAATGTTGAGCACTGCGGAGCAGACGCACATGAAAGCTGCAGTGAAACTACACAGTAAATCAAAGCTTACCCAACATTTTATCCACACTATGGAAAATAAACAAATTTTCTCACTTTGTTCGAATCCTTCCTCTTTTGTATTTTGCATCATCACTGCTGCGACAAGAAAGCGTTTCCGACTACGCATCGGTATGTGATTTTCCACCGTCTAGGTATATTCTATTTCTCCTGAAAGTCTGCGACCGATGTGCTGAAACACTGACAATATCCAATTAGTCTATGTAAGCCTCTCGGGTGTACGGATACGCTTTCACCTGTTACCTGTGCTGAAAGACCCTGTATTTTATTATTTAAAAACATTGATTTATTTTGTTTGCTTACCTTCGCACCAGCCTCTAAAAGCACAGATGCAACTGATATTGCATATTCTGCCTCATTATATTCTACAGCACACATTAGAGGATCATCTCCATAGGAACTCTTTACAACCACACTACTGCCTTGTGACAAGAGAAATCGAATAACTTCTGCACTCTGTTTTCCACAAGCGTAGATGAAAGGAGTATTCCCCAAAGAATCAACAAGGTTAAGAATATATGATGGCGATTTTTCAGTTAACAACTTAACAATTGCTGAAAAATAATACATACAGTAAATTAGCAATACAATAAATAGCTTTAAGCATACAATAAATTCAAGAATAGGAAAATGAATATCGATATTAGTTACAATCGGAAATTGCATAGATTTTTGCGGAGTAGCAATAGAGATGTCACAAGAATTATGTTTTTGGTTTGCCGCGAAGTTCTTCTGTCTTAGTAAGAGAGATACCAGATATTCTGGCTGTACGCCCTTTTAGACTACTCTCTCGTAAGCTATTATTACGCCCGGCCGTACTTTAGACCCTCGATAGCTTTGCAGTCAATTAATGTTAAGGGGCCAACTCTGTTAGAACCGTGTTAGCTTCGGCTACATCTCTATAGTTAAGATTAGTTTAGTTTAATTCTTAGTCTCTTAAGTTCAAGCCCAAGTCTCGGCTTTTATTGTACAACTCCAAGAAGAAGTTTTGTTGAACTTTAGTTGGAGTAATAAAGAGTTATTTTGCCTTCTTACTTGCTTTTTCTTGTACACGAACTCAAGCGATTATTCGCTTATTAATTCTTAAGATTCATAACTTTCCACTGTAACTTCGAATTACACAGAATCCTACAGTATAATTAACATTATCTATTGAGGAAATTCCAGAACAGAAACTATGCGTTGTAATTTCAAATAGAACATACTTGCATAATAGTTTTAAGAAGAAAAACCAAAGCAGTAGAAGCATTTGTATTTGACTCCAATCTTGATGAAATTTTGCACACTTGATTTTCAAAGGAAGAGCAAGGGGACATACATAAGATTTCGAAAAATCACTCCAGGGGTTCCACACTCTTTTTACATTTTGTGAAAATTTAATAAACTCTTGATTAAAAACTCAGCAATTTAAAAACTTTGTACTGCCACTCGGCAAAGAGTATGAGATTTATACTATAATATTTATTTAATAAAAAACTCGAAAATAAAAGACGTGTGTTTCCACTCAAGAAAAGCAATGATTTGACTTGCATATTTTAAAAGCAAATTTAGGGATTTCAGAGAAATATGTTGCTACTGCTATTTTATTTTAATTCAGGTAGTTGAGGAGCAATGTATATGTTGCATCAGTGCCCTGTCAATCAGCAAAGTTTAAAATATTTAATTTTTCTTTCAAAGTTTTTATGTTATTAATCATAAACTAAGATATTACTGGAAAAATCAAACAACATGGATTTCAAAGACACCGACATTAGTCCTGCAAAATTTAAAAATACAGAGGTCGTTAGCACATATTTTACACCATTTTCATTCGAACTGTAGAAATATTTTACCTAAACTTTTTTTTGTGTTTTAAATGTTCCATTTGATAAAGTTAATTCTTCACTATCTTTCTACCCAGTAATTTCAAAAACAATTAAGCTTTTTTAAGTAGCAAAAGAGATATTTAACCCTCTTCCCCTTGTACAGGTTTCCAAAGTCCAAGGAGTGCTGCAAGTCGACGCCAGGACAATCCGCTTTTAAAAAGTCCAAAAATGCAAAATTTCGTGAATAATAATTCATCAGGAGATTTAGGAGGGATATTTGTGAAGGATATAGCTTTGATACTCGTCTCTTGTTCCAGGAAATTAACAGTGGACTTTGCTATGCGCTTTGTTTTCATGCATCAAACATGATCTTCTCTATTGATTGATGGCACTGTGGGTAAAGAGAATGTATTCGTACTTGAAATTCGGGTGCAGAATATGTGCCTGATAACGTGTGGAGTTAACGTAAACAGTTTTCTGCATTCTCTTTAATTTTCATTGGTCGTTCTATCAAAAACCAGCAACAATTATAAATATTTGAAAACTTTCTTTACATTCTTTGAACCTTTTTCTAAGATTTTTTCTTCTCTTTGATGATAATAAATGGATATATTTTTATTGCGGTCACTGAAATATATGCAAGATTCATCTACTGTGACAGTAAATTGGATACTTGGATGCCGCCGGTTGGATCCCCTACCTTCAAGGGCTGCCTAATGCAATTTTTCAGCAGGATAACGCCCGATCGCACAGTGCTCGCATCTGTCAACATGCCTGACCTGTCTCTCCTGACATGTCTCCAATCGAACATGTATGGGATGTGATTGGACGCCGTTTGCAGACTCTGCCCCTCAGAAGACGAACTGTGGCAAATGGTTGAAAGGGAATGGAGAGCCATCCCTCAGGACACCATCCGCACTCTTATTAACTCTAAGCCTAGACGTGTTTCTACGTGCATCGCTGTCCGCGGTGGTCCTACATCGTAATGAGCCGCCGCCATTCTCGCTCTATATTCTGACTACCATTTTGATATAAAGATCACGTATTGCTGCTTGCTGTCTCTGTCTCCAAATTTCGTCACTTTCTGACCACTCCTTCTTGGTGTTACATTATCAATGTCGAGCAGTGTTCATCGGGAGATTTAGCAGGGATATTTGTGAAGGGTATGGCTTAGGTTTCTGTTTCTTGTTCCAATTTTTCCCAGGAAATGAACAGTGGATTTTGACCTGCGCTTTGTCTTGATGCAGTTCTACTAATTGATGGCATTGTGGATAAAGAGAAGATATTTCTTATTTGAAATTTGGGTGTAGAATATGTGCCTGGTGATGTGTGGAGTTAACCTGAACAATTTTCTGCATTCTCTTTTAATTTTCATTTGTCGTTCTATCAAAAACAAGAATTTTAAATATTTTCGTTTAACATTAACGATTTTACTTTTCAACATTTGAAACATTCCGTTTTTTTCCTTGGATATGTATTTTGAACAATTTTTGTCCTCGAAGCCAAACTTTGATGTTTTGTTTTCCTTTCTTATTTACATGAACCTCAAACACTAATCGATTATCGCTCAGATTGGGATCACGTGAGGTTTCAGAAGCAGAACTTTCGTCTGATTAGTTCTCTACCCGGGACTGAGGTCCAGTCGAGACATTTTCTGTGAGGTTTGAAAAAATCCCACGTAGCCACAACATTGTTTCTGTAGCTAGGTGGGACTTCGCTTCAGGTGGGGCTCTTTTTCCTAGGATTCCTCCCGTTTAACCCAGTGCTACCAGAATCTCGTTTTTCAGAAACGTCCCGTCTAGCAGGAATTGTAGCCATGTGTGATAACCTCTTTACACTATTATGTAGATTCTTTGCATACTGCAAGAAGGGTTGCACGTAGTTTGGATGCACCGAAAATCACAGTTCTCAAGCTTCAGCCTCTGTTCTGCGAATGTTTCCTTATCAATTCCAGGGCGTCCAGATGTTGCAACTTGGAGGCACGGAACCACGTGCCGAAATTGCGAGCTTATTTCTTATAAGATGTAATGAAGGATATTTTGGATGGATGGATGCATTTCTCGTTAACTCAGAACATAAACTCCAAAAACTACGTTCAGTGGACTGATGAAAATACTCATGATGTGGCACCAGCACCTTTACTACAAGATTTAAAGTAGTGCAGCATAGCCACGATATTCGTTCGGTCCGTACTTCTTTGAAGAGGTAAATTTCATGGATAGGAACATGAGCTCCATCACAAGTCTCAACAATGATGTACAATTACGAAATTCAAAATTACAGCAGCGAAGTGTCGTTAATGAGAGTGCATGAATGCAAGATAGTGCTCCTCCACATATATTTGTCTAATGCTGGAACACCACAGTGGAGATAGTCATCTACCAAAACTTTGAAGTTTCTTGGCATCCGCTATCCCTCGACCTCACTCCGATTGATTTCAGAATCTGAGGTTATCTGAAATCTAAGGTGTACGCACCAAATCCACCAGATATGTCCAAACGGGAACGCTCCATAAAACGTTAACTAAATAAACGGTGAATAAATCCGCCAAAGCGAATGGGTATTTTCCGAAAGCTCATTCTAAAAAAAGGTATAACTGATAACAAAGCAAGTATCAGTACTTAATTAAAATTCGTTACACAGCGCAGTGTCCGTTCTATACTGTTCTAAAGTTTTATTCAAGCTCCGGAAAATATTACACAATTGCATATTCGCAAAATAGGAAGAAAATAACAGTCCACATGAGGGCGAATAATTGTTTTAGAATGTGTTAAAAATCTGAAAGCTTTGTAATGTAAAGGACACTAAAAAAGTGAAACAAAATGCTGCTTAACGTCGAAGAGATCGATATCAGTTGCAATACCTTTCGCTAAGATGGGTGGCCAGAGGGAGTTTCATCAGTCCACATTGGCAAAAAGAAACGTGTTTAAACATCAAAATTCTTCAAACCGTTACTTACTACCTTCTTTTCTGTAATTATTTCTTGGTTCACCTTCAGGTTGCAGTTTCTCTCTCTAAATTTTCTCAGCGCACACAGGAAAAATGCCTGCTTGCGTGTTTGTAGATTAAATTATCTGGATTTTACTAAAGAAATGGGGCTGTGTACCAAAGAGGAAGGACGCCATCCTCCAAAATATTTTAAGGGAAACTTGCCATAGTAGCGTTGCACTTCAAAGAAAATCGCAAACTGAATTCGTTCCCCGGGATTTGAACGTTTGTCGAACGATCAAATTTAGCAATCTTACTGCTCCAGGTTATGATATATTTTCTGTATGTATCTGAGGAACAAATATCTTAAAGCTATTAAATTAAATTTTAAGTAGATGTTTTCTTTACAAACGAATTTTCTTTATTATAAGATAGCGTCAAAATAACATTTCCATAAACCTGAACAATTCTATCTCATGTCACTTTTTTTAATAAAGCATGTATGTTTTTTACATAATTTTAGATATGAAAAAGTACACAAAAAATCTTGCGTTTTTAGAAACAAGTGACATAAAAATGGAAGACTCCAATAGTCTCAGATATTATGCTAAAACTCTAAAACTGAAAGATTTAGAGCCTGGGAGATACAATCTGATCTTAATACTAAAATTTCAAACTATATGTGGAGACTCATGTATTACAAAAATAGAAATAGATGATGTACAAAAAGAAGATTATGTTAAAACACATCATCGAAAACTTTCTGATAATGCAATCAAAATCATTAATCAAAGAAATTACATATTCAACTATAAAATATAATAAATGGTGAATATTCGTACTACTTGGGAAACTTTAGAATATCATTCATTTTTATATCTCTTATATTTTGTGCCCAAAACTTAACACTTTTAGGCTTTCTTCATGTCTAAAACACATTATGTTACTTTATTCAAAAAACTTAAGAGACTTCTGCGTATCTTTTCATATCTAAGAATATTAATAAAAGTAAAAAATATTTTCATATCTAACAACATGCACTCATATCTAACAAACATACACTTTTATTGCTTGACTTCTGAATTAGTATTGTTTGGCGTGTTATTGTGTCTTAATTATACTATTTTAACTCCTAAAACTTACTTTTGTGTACTTTTTCATATCTAAAAATGTATAAGAAACATACATATTTTGTTAAAAAAAGCTTGACATGAAATATAGTCGTTCATGTTTTTGAAAATGTGCTCAAAAAAGGTAATTTTGACTGTTATTATAATTCATTTTATTTCTGTTATTTCTGAGTTCTTATTTTCTAACGGAGGTATTTTAATATAATTAAGCATCCACTATTTTAATATAGTTAAACATCCAACCCACAAATTGGTAATAAAGATTATGCAAATTGCATCTTCCTAATAATCTAAACATATCAATAATAGTATTAACAGTGTACAAATTTCATTAAAAATTCATTTACTATTCTCTTCATTAAAAATTGGGTACGCTAACTTCTGTTTTAATATACAGGTTATTTGGCTATGTAAATGAAGTATAAACGTATTCAAAATAATTTTAACTTTACCTGAAGATCTTCTTTCACAAGCGATATGCAGAGCTGTTTTTCTACGTCTGCCTGTCTTGGTAACATCAACTCCATTTTCTAGAAGCAATTTAATTAACTCGTAATCTGAATTATTGACTGCTAGAAAAATAGAAATAAATATCACTGTAGTTAAATTTCAGTTATAAGTATATGGGAAGTTTTCAGAAAATAAAAACTGCCTAAAGAGATTTCTTCTAGGAAGTATGTGAATAGAAATTCGTATAGAATTTATTAAAAAGATTTTAAAGAAGTTCCTGTCAAAGTGCAATGTTAAACAATTATTAAAATCTCTCTATAAATATTGCTTTTATTAAAAAAGAGTATTTTGTGATTTTGTTTTGTTGCTTATTATAAAGTTAAACATAAATGAAAAAAAGTATAAACATATTCAAAATAATTTTAACATTACCTGAAGACTTTCTTTTACAAGCGTAATGCAGAGCTGTATCCCCAAATATGTCTCTCCTGCTGACATCAGCTCCCTTTTCTAGAAGATATCTAACTAATTCGTAATCTGAATTTTTGGCCGCTAGAGGAAGAAAAATAAATATCATTGTAAGTTCAATTATTAGCCTATGAGAAATTTTCTGAAAAAAAAATTTCCTAAAGAGATTTCTTCTAGAAAGTTCATAAATATGAATTTGTGTATGATTTATTAAAAAGATTTTTAAGAAGTTATCAAATTCCAATGTTTAACAATCATTGAATTCTCTGTATAGATTTTCTGTATAAACATTTTATTAAAAAAATCTGATGTGTGCGCCACATGACTTCCTTGTACAGAATATTAAATTATACGCATTTTTCTTGCATTTCATTTAAACTTTAAATTGATTGAATTAAATATACTTCGTCAATAGCGCATAAATCATAATAGAATAAATTCACTATATTTGTTAACCATTAAACCTACTGCGTCGATAGAGCATAAATCACAATAGAATAAATGCATTCTTTAAAATTCACTATATTTGTTTACCATTAAACCTACTGCGTCGATAGAGCATAAATCACAATAGAATAAATGCATTCTTTAAAATTCACTATATTTGTTTACCATAGCAACACCCTTGCGCTAGGTTCACTTAACAACGCTAATCTTGAGGATCAAGGGAGTTGAATCCACTAGAATGGAAAGTACTTGTACACATACTGTGCTATAATTCAGAGATTTCTAATGGATGCTCCAGTGCCGTCTCTGTTGAGAGATACGTAAACCTAGAAGATACGAAGGTGCTCATGTGGCTCCATCTGTTTTTGAAAATGAAAAGCTTCTTAGTATGCTGGTGCTCCGGAGGAGTCATCTCTTGTAGGTGAGACATTTTTGAAAAAAATTTTCATACTATTCTTTAGATAAGTAATTATTGGCAAATGATTATAGGATGAAATAGCATAGTTTGTCACAGTAGAAAACGGTTCACAAGAATAAAACTATATACACACCAAAGTCTATACCTGCTTTGGCAGGGACAAAGTCCATGGCGCTTCGTTAAAGTCATGAGTTAAGATGAAAAGTAATAATAAAATAAAATTTGTCTAAATAAGAACCAAAATATAGATGCAATTACCACCAACTATTGTGGTGAATAGTATGGGGTCTTTTGTGGCGTTGTTCTACTGTGTAATCATAATTTCCGAGATTTTTAATAATATTTTCAGGATGATTGTCGCACTTCGTAAAGAAGTTATGAGATAATTTTAAAATTTCTGCATCTGTTGATTTGATTTTCAAGTCGGTGTGTAAGGTGCTATTCCGCACAAACCAGGGTGCACTTGTAATTATTCGAACTGCCTTGTTTTGAATCTTTTGAATTTTTGTACGGTGAGTTCTTGCAGTAGTAGCCCAAGGTGGAGTTATGAGATAATTTTAAAATTTCTGCATCTGTTGATTTGATTTTCAAGTCGGTGTGTAAGGTGCTATTCCGCACAAACCAGGGTGCACTTGTAATTATTCGAACTGCCTTGTTTTGAATCTTTTGAATTTTTCTACGGTGAGTTCTTGCAGTAGTAGCCCAAGGTGGAGATGCGCAAAGAAGAATGGGTCGTATTGCATGAGCGCATAAAACTTCCTGTTGCTTGATTAGCTTTTTTGCATGTTTTTTCAACATGATCTTCGAATGTGAGATTTTGGTCGAGATAAACGCCTAAATACTTGATGCATTTTTCATTGGGTAGGGATGTTATTGATGATAATACTATTGAGATGTCTTCTAGGGTTCTTTTGAAAATAAACTGTAATTGATTTGCGTTCATTAATTTTAATTTCCCATTTACTGAACCATGGGAAAATATAATCTGTTGCATTTTGTAAGTTTTCAACAGCTCTTTGAGAGCTGATGGATTTGCTGAGAATGGCAGTGTCGTCTGCATAGCAGGCAATAATGGCATCTTTGTGATAGGACGATCATTTACATACATATTAAAGGGAAAAGGCGAACGATTCGAACCCTGAGGAACACCTGCATTCATATAACTGATATTTGAGAGAGTTCGTTCTTAATACGAACTTAAAAGACTTAACTTAACAACAACAACAAAGAAAAAAGAAACAGTTTTTCACAGGCAATTCAGTATTTCTCATTCAATTAATTCAGCTTTCACTTCGCGACATGGCAAAAATACATAAAAACTCAAAATGTCTGTATTGAAAATTATGAAGTAACTCTTAAACACTCCAAAAAATTACAGAATGGATTAAGCATGATTTAATTCCCAATAATAAAAGAGGGTGTTATCCTTGTTATTGTGAAGCTTACTTTCTCTAGATTGGCAACAAATCTACTATTCTGTTGTTTCAAATGTAAACAAGCAATGGCCAAAATGGTAAAAATTATTAGGCTTATCAGCACTTAAACAACTTTTAAATTGTTGATAATTCTAAAATGATTGCATACAGATTTACTAAAGGCATAAAAACCTTAATCTGGAGATAAGAACAACATGATTCAATCATTTTTAAAGCAAAAAATGTACAATTTACAAACATATAAGAGTAAAGAAACTGAGATCACTGAGCCAGGTAAAAGAGTGGATATATATATATAAATATATTTATATAAGTTTGGCGTGGTCAATTGCAACCAAAATAAGTGGTGCACATCTACATGTTATAGCACTCCTATATACAAAATTTCAACGTTCTGAGGCCACTCGTTTTTTTGTTATGTGAGATACATACGTATGTACACACAGACGCCACGAGAAATTCTCTTTAGAATTCATTTTAAATTATTTTTACATTTTTTTGGGGGAAACGAGTCCTTTAATCTCTCCTTGCACGCAGATATCAAGCAAAAACATTGTTAAATTGCATTTGATAGTGGTGAAAATGGATATTTGCGTTGAAATATGATGCCTGAAACTTTTCGCGATTACAATACTTCCTTTTTACTTCGTACAAGGAAGTAAAAAGACTATTTTGTGATGTTTTATTTGTGATATAAAAGCTTTTAGTTAATGAAGCACATAATTAAAACATTTAAATATTTTCCAATATATTCAATTGAACAAGCAGTTCAAGAAAATGCAAACGGTTATTTACACATTCGTCGTAAAATACAGAAGCGTTACTTATGTTATTATGCAAGTCCATTGAAGATTGTTCACCAAGTAAACACTAAAACATACAAACCAGACGGCATATCAATCAACACATAGTTTAACCCATGGCATAAACATTAACATAACAGAAACATCGATAATTGTTCAGAAAGTAAAAATTAGATGAATTTCAACTATAAAAATTAAATGTCTTATACACATAATTTAATAAAATAACAAGATTTAATAACAATGTTAAGATTTAAAAAAATAAAAGGTTCCCATTGCTCTACTTAAAACTACAGAGTTCCCTAGAGATCGGGCATGTAAAACTCACTGTACAAATATACTATCATTTTCCCAATTTCGATTGTTCTAACATGCACAAATAGTTTCCGAACATCTTGCTCTTTCTCAGGAGCCCTATTCATGTCTTTTATGCATACCTTACCAGCATATAGCTTTAGAATACCTTCCCATTTTTCAAATGTTCCAACATGTCTTTTGTCAATGCCTTTCTAAGAATTTTATTATTGACCTATAACAGAGGGTGAAAGCATGGCTTTACGAAAACCACACATAAACCTACTGAAAAAATACACTTTCTTCTCAGCACCTCATAGGCAAGGCTCAAAACCAAGGTCAAAATACAAGGAACTCTCTTTTCTCAACGTAAACAGATAAAATTCTTGTTGATAATAATTTTAGAAGGCAGTATGAACAGCACCCTGATGTGTGACACTGTTAAATATGCTCAAGTAAGTATTCCAATAATTTCAGTCCGGAATGACCTGTTCCTTACCAATCTTCGTAGCAAGCCATGTGGCTTCACTTTCCTACTCATGCGAAATATTAATTCGCACTCCGAATAGCAGTCAAGGAAAGTGGGCAGAAACATGAGATGCTTAAAATTAAGGAGGTCGTGCTATCATTTGCAATATCTCTTACAAAGCTGTGCCACTGTAATATTTGTACAATAAGCGAAATTGTAGATGCCTTTACAGATGTCTTGAAATAGCCCCTCACTTGCAAGCATTCGCGAAAAGAGTGTTGATATAACAATGTTTTACAAATGTCTCTATACTGTCTACGTTTTTCTTGTTGCTTCGTGGCTGATCTTCGAATTGCAATGTCCGATTGTAGATTTTCCCAGAGTACACAAGGAAAAATTGTGTTATGTGCTTTTAGAGTATAAAACTTACACATCAAAGATCCTTACTATAATTTTCTTTATATCTCTGATTTTTAGGTTCGTATTGCTAATGTTCGTATTGCTAATTATAATTTCTTATAATTAATTAAATACATTTTGCGCATTACAGTAAAACTGGAAATGAAAGTAAGTAATTCAATCTTCTATTAATGTTGGTAAAATAATAATAGTAAAACTCATTTACTACTCTCTTGATTAATCACTCAGAACATTCATTGCTGTTCTAATGTACAAGTTATTTCACTACATAAATTCGAAAAAAGTTTCAAACAAAATTTTTAGCATTACCTATATACAGAGCTGTCAGTCCTTCATGGTTAGTGCTATTAATGTCAGCTCCCTTTTCTAAAAGCAGACTAACTAACTCATGATCTTTCAAACGGGTGGCCCCACGAAGCAAAATATCGCTTAAGACCTCGTTCTTCTTTATTCCAGCAAAAGGATTGGAGTTTCCTGAAAGTAACAATTTTCTAAATCGTAAATCTGTAGAAAGTACATAAATATGAAGTCTTGCAAGATTTATTGAAAGATATTCTTAACAAAATGCAATAACAATTAGTGAAATCCCTGTGTGGATCTTCTAAACAAAATTCATTATTTTTGTTTGTTATTTACAAGAAAATATAAAAGTTAATAAGGAACATTAATTAAAAGCATCTAAAACTACTAGCGTAAATAAAATATTCAGCGTAGAATTGCATCAAATATAAGAAAAATATTTTTTTCTTACAAATAGGAAATACAAACACTTTTGCAAACCGTAATCTTAACATTTTATCCATCGCAAAATTGAACTGATGGAAGATTTTCATAAAACTGTAATATTAGCGGTTCCTTATATTGAGAAATAATGCTTGATTATATCACATAAAAAAAAGTTAATTTTCTATAAGTTGTTTCATTAAATTCTTTAACTTTCCATTTAAAGTTAAAAGAAATAGAAATATTTCGTTACTTCCATGTCAGGGACAAAGCTTTTTTAAAACACAAGGGCTATTAGTCTCAAAGTGCGATTTTGTGTTTCACTTTACATTCAATTCTTTTGCCATTTGGGAAAATGTAAGACATCAACCTTTCAGACTTAATGCGTCTCTTATTGATAAACAATGTAAGCTATTTAAAAGTAATACATGCAGTTTTTAAGAACAGTCATTTCTTCTTTTGAATCTATGAGTTAAATAAAAAATACATTTAGTTCATGATATATCTAATTAAAAAGTTTAAATATTTTTTTTTTAATTATCTTACATATTTTTTCACTTTTCAATTATATTCTCAGCTTTAATGCGTTGTTGTTTCACTTTTCTTTCGAGTTTTTAGTTTTCCTAAATTTCTTTAGTTAATCTTTTAGTTGAAAATGTACGATATTTTTCTTTCATATTTATTCTATCTGTCATATTTAATCTGTCTGTTAATGATAAAGAAATGAAAGTTTTAAAAAGCATAGATGAAATTTATAAAAACATTATTATTTTAAATTTTTAATCTTATTGATTTAAAAATGCATATAATTCATAATATATCTAAATAAAAATATTAAATAATTTTGTTGAATTATGTTACATATTTTTTTACTTTTTAAATATACAGAAGATATATTACATTTCCATGTTGTTAGTCTAAATGCATCCCTCTAATATTATATAAAATGTTTCGCTTTCCAGCTGAGCCACATTTATGAATATCTACAGATAAACCATATTAAACTTTATACAGCCTGTTCGCGCCTGCGCACCTGTAATGTAATCCGCGCATGCGCATCTGTAATGGTGTTCAGAAAAGTTTGAGAATCGCCAACGACAGTGTAAGAGGGCTGGTCACAGCTCTGAGTTAATAATGAGTGATTGTAATTAATTATGAGAATTAATAAAGAACCGAACCAGAGAATATATTATAATGTGTGTTATTTGGGATGAGACCCAAACATATTTGGTCCCCCAGAGCTGGAAATTTTGTGCGTGAATAAATTGCGTTTCGTTTTTGAGAATGCAGGAGTGTTTGTGTTTACCAGTATTCCCAGCTTGTTCTTTTCAACGAATATCACTGATTTTGGATAAGGATATTCACCAAAAGTGAATCACTGCAGAGGTAAGTGATTCCTCTCTTGTTAATTCTGTACATTCTGTGCTTTGTTCTGTTATAAATAACAATGTTATTTAAGGGTGCTAAAAAAGAAGATTTAAGGCTTATTGCCTTAGAAATAAATCTAAATGTTGACGAAAAAATTACTATAGCAGATTTAACTGATATTATTGAGAATAGTGAAATCTTTAAAACTAAACAAGATTAAAAAAGAGATAGCAAACTCTATTATCGAAAATAGAAAAGAAGAAGAGCATAAACAGCAAAAACTTGTCGAGTTAGAACAAATAAAACTTGAGAGATCAAAGAATGAGTTAGAATTGGCTAAGCTTAAAGCAGAAACTAAACTTGATGGTGTAAGCGAAACCGAAACAAAATCAGAGTCACTAGATCAATTAATAAAAAGTATCAGAACCTTAACTGTAAAAATTCCTATACGGCCTGCCTGAGAGTGGGGATTTTTCTTTTCGTCATTAGAATGAGTGTTTAATACAAAAAATGTTTTGGAAGACTATAAAGCAGAAATTCTGTTAAATCTGTTAGAAGACAAAGCTTCGAATATAATAACCTATTTACATGATAAGGATATCGCGAATTACGAAAAAGTAAAAGAAGTAGTTCTGAAGAAGTTTCAGCCAACACCATATTCGTGTTTAGAAAACTTCAGAAAAACAGTTAAACAACCACATGAAACTCGTGTGCAGTAACTACCTGGGATTATTATTTAAAATTAAGGAAGGTAACTGACTTCGAGACCCTCAAACAACTAATAGTTGCAGACAGGTTATACCAATCTTTAGATACGGGAACAGCTTCTCACATTGCAGTGAGGCAAGGTGATTCATGGTTTCAACCTAGTGAGTTAAGTCAAGAAATAGATTTATATTTCACGTCACCAGGAAAACCTCTTACTGAGAATTCTCATGTTAATCGTAAGTATAACAGCTCAAAAAGTGTAGCTAAAGTGTTTTTGTCAGATGTTAAAACAGAGAACTGTATTTTATGCCACGAGAATCACAGTTTGGCAAAATGCCCATCGTATTTAAAATTACCAGTACAAGAAAGAGTACAGGTTGTGAAACCTAATAAATATTAACTGTCTACATATACATTCAGTATCAAATTGACCATTGAAATATTCTTGTTTTTGTCAAAAACGGCACCACAAAACTATTCATTCTCCGAAAGCAAATATCGTAAAGGAGAAAGAATGTTCTTCATCCGAACAAATTAAAAACAAAACAAATGTATCTGACTGCAACGTTCCCAAATGAGATGACTCATCGACCTAGAATGTTAATGTGCAGGAGTTCGTTCAAAAGGCATTTATTAGAAATTATTCGAATAAACAAAATACAGTTTTGCTTTCAACCATCCTATGTTTTTTAATTGATAACGAGGGAAGAAAAACACAGAGTGAAGTGTCTGCTGGACAGGGGCAGTATGTAGAACTTTTTGACACGGAATTTATTGAGCATTTGCAGTTAGAGAAAGAAAAAAACAAACATTTCCGTTTCGGGAATAAATGATGCTACTTTAACAATAAAGCATAAAATTAATGCTTCGATATGCAATAAAGAAGGAACTTTTATAAAGAATTTGGACTTTTTAGTAATTCCAAAAATAACTGCTGATTTAACACCTTCGCGCAAAATTAAAATTTCAGTGCAAGATCTTCCTAATTTAAAATTAGCAGATGAAGGATTTAATGTTCCAGAAAGGGTAGATATGTTGTTGGGAGCGGGAGTTTTTTATGAACTTTTGAAACCGAGTCAAATTCGAATGAATAATCCTGATCTTATTTTTCAAGATACAGTTTTTGGTTTTATCGTGTCTGGAAGTATTCCAACAGAGACTGAAAACAGGGGGTTCATTGTGGGTTGATAAAGGAAGAAGACAACTTAGATAAAACTCTTAGAAAATTTTGGGAATTAGAAAATATTGAAACTGATAAACCCAAAAACAAAGAATTTTTAATTTGTGAGAAACATTTCGTAGAAAATTATACACGAGATAAAACCGGTAGGTACGTTGTTAAAATGCCATTAAAGGAGGATCCGGACACTTTAGGAAGTTCTAAACAAATTGCAACGAGTAAATTAAATTCCTTATGGAAACGCTTAGTAAAGAATCCCGAATATTTAAAATTATATTCAGATTTTTTAAAAGAATATCAACAGTTAGGACATATGGTTGAGGTGAGTGAAAGCGAGGAGGAACGAGGTTCATATTACATTCCTCATATTGGAGTATATAGGGGAGAAGAGAAAAGTAAGTCGACTCCCTTGAGGGTAGTATTTAACGCTTCTTCTTTGACAACCAAAGGAAACTCTCTAAATTCTATACAGTATAATGGAGGTGTGATACAAGATGATTTATTCTCAATTATGCTGAGATTCAGGAAATATATTTTTGCTTTCACTGCTGATATACAAAAAGATGTATCGAGCTATTTCTATCCATCCAGATCAGTGGAAGTTGCAAAGGATTTTATGGAAAGAAGGCATTGATAAGCCAGTTAAAAACTTTGAGCTAACCACCGTTACCTATGGAACTGTGAGTGCACCATTTTTAGCAATGAGAACACTTGTACAGCTGTCAAAGGACGAAGGAGATAAATTTCCTTTAGCAGCACCTGTACTGAGAGAAGACATGTACATGGACGATATTCTATCTGGAGCTGAGTCGCTAAGTTCTGCGTTAGAACTTCAAAATCAGTTAATAGGCATTTTGAAGAGTGGAGGTATGTTACTCCATAAGTGGTGTAGTAATGCTACTGAACTGTGTCAAACAAACGACAAAACATATCCCTTTGGTAAATCAGAAGAATCTAAAGCATTAGGTATTTTATGGAAGTCAAAAGGAGATTGTTTGAGCTTCAACGTTAAAATCGAAGACAACGTAAAGGTTACGAAACGGCAAGTGTTATCCGTCATATCTCGCATCTTTGACCCATTGGGTATAATTTCCCCAGTTATAATTGTAGCAAAAATATTTATGCAGAAATTATGGCTGTTAAAATTGAACTGGAATGATGTTTTGCCAGAAAAGGAGGCTAAAGAATGGAAAGAATTCTCCACTACCTTGCAGCTAATTAACAACATTGAAGTCCCTAGATGTATTTTATTACCAGATAGAATCAAGATTGAATTACATGGTTTCTGTGATGCCTCAGAGGCCGCCTATGGAGCAGTTATCTACTGTAAAGCAACATCAGCAACAAACCATACATCAATGAGGTTGGTGTGCAGTATATCGCGTGTCTCCCCCTAAAGAAGACTACAATCTCAAGACTTGTGCTTTGCGCAGCAGTGCTATTAGCTAAACTAATGCATCGAGTGAAATCATCGTTAAAATTGGAGCTTACTGCT